TTTTTTTTAAATAATATTTATTGCTTTTAAAAGTTACAAAAAAGTAGAAAAAAGAAAGAAAAAACACGAAAAAGAAAAAAAGAAAGAGAAAAACAATACAATGTATAAACAATACAAACCCACCCTAAACCCATTAAACTAAACACATGAACAAAGCTCGACACAAACAATTTAAAGCATCTCTCCTTTTCCATACTCTATCCTTCATTCCCTTGTTTCCTCGACTTCCTCACACCTCCCTTCTTGTATCCCACTTCTAGTACTTGTTTCAGCAAATCCTTTCCATCTTTCTCTATTTTCTGTCATATTAAGAATAACATGTTCTTTAACCTTATTTCCCATTAACGGTTGATTACTTATATACACCCAACTTCTTATAGTATTTCTGCTAAATCCATAAAATATCATTCCACCGTTTTTCTGACAGTCATTACTTTAACAAAGTTTCTAAATAAACACTTTAAATTTTCCATTAATCTTCCACTATCTCCTCTCCCTGGCTTCGGATTCTGCCGGTCCTTTCCGTCAGTTCCATATAGTCCATCAACCTGGTGCCCTAATATCCGAGGCTCTTAAATCTCTTCCAAGTCCCTTCTGCAGGTCTTCTTCATGTTCTTTGATGCTCAGGAGCAAGTCTCGGGAAAACTCCAGCCTAGCAATACTTTTGTTCCTTCTGGACAGTTCAGCCAAATTTCCAAAGTTAAAAGTAACGTCCATAAAGTGTTTCAGAACGTATTTCAGGATTCCTCCAATTCTAGCGACCCCCAAAACTTCAAACTTCTCCAAGCCCAAGTCCATGTCCCAAAAGTCAGTCAATCCCTGGATAGAGGGTTCTTCCCAACTTTCCTTCTTCAATCCAAGCCGGGATCCTAGCCTCGAAATTTGACTTGCTAGATTCAGTCATGAAAGACCTCAATTTATAATCCTCAATCTGCTTCTGAGAAATTAAGGAACCCGCTTGTACTACTTTTAGTTTCTCATCATCAGCTTTCTCCTTTTTCTCCACCATTTTCACATCATCAGCTTTCTCCTTTTCCTCCACCATTTGTCCAACCAAGATATGTTCCTGTACCCAATCCTGAGTTGTTTCTGTATTAGCACTCACTTTTTGATTCAAATTAATCATGTTCTGTTCCAAGTTGTCAATTTTAGAGATCGTGTCATCTGTCTTTTTATGAAGCTGTTCCAGCGCATGATTTATCTTGTATAATACAGTCACAATGGCTTCTCCTATCAACATTTTGAGTGATCCAAGGTCAGACTCTATTTTTCAGAATCTTATCTTGCAGCTGGAGCTCTTCCTAATGCACTCCTGTAACAGTTTCACATGCTCCCTCTAGAGGGAAACAGTCTCCGTTTGTATCAATTCTTTCAAACACAACTCAAGCAAGTAACAATAGTTTCAATTTTCGGTTACTTTTTCCTCCATTTTTAAACGCAGAAAAGGACAATGGAGACAGTGCCTTTCTTATTTTAGCTAGCTGTCAAATCCGTTCTGTCAGTAAACATTCCCCGAATGTCATCTGGCAGCCCTTTTCCAGGTTCAGAGCAGTGGCAATTTAATTTTAACTCTCTTCTGCAGGCACATTAGATCCAAAACTTCCCCTCTCTTCTCCTGCTTCCAAGAGGGGTTATATATTCTTGTCCGGTAGAAATTTAATCCTTTGTCAAAAGCTTTCAAAGACTTTAGCTTGTAACGTCTTTGCTTCAATCTATTTACAAAACGGGAGGCAGACTTCCTGTTTAGAACCTTCCCGCTTTTGGTTCCTAATTAAGAAATTTCATAGTCCAATTTTCCGTTCTACTCACGGGTAGTCGTTTAAAATCCAATTGTCCACAGGAAAAGTCAGCGCTCTCCGACAACAGCAAATCGGCTTCACTCCGTGAAAGAGCGGTCGATTCAAAGCACCGCGCCGCTCACCCCACGTCGCTCCGGATCCCAAAACAGGGTTTCCCCGCTAGAGTAGGGGCGCAAATGGTGCCAGCCGAATCCCAGGTTCACAGGCTTCTCCCGCCTGTGATTTCTATGGGTCTCCGCCTTCACCGTGGCGGTCAGACCCTGCTTTTCACGGAGCAAATTCCTCCCGATCGGAGGAATTCAGCCATTGCCGGAGGCGCCTCCCCGGAAGTCCACCTCCCGTTGAGTTTGTATACATAAGGTACATATGTAAGGGGCTCATTTATAATTATTTTGGGAATGTTGCATGTTCTTATGTAGCTGCATTGTTTTGTACTTTCTGGACATCTCATGATCATAGTTGTGTTCTATGTTATGAATCAAGCACTGCTAGGAATAGTCCCCTCCCAATGTATTCCTTATCAAGGGGAAATTTGGTGTGGTGTGAGCAATTTTTTCTTCTGAAAGTGTGGCCCAGAGGGAAAAAAAGCTTCGGAACCACTGGTCTAGGACCTGGGAGACAACCTCAAAGCAGCTCATAATATATAAAAGATAAACAAATCACCAAAATATAGGTAAAATAGAATAACTGTTTAAAGCCACAACTAATAAGTTAGAGAGAAAATAAACCTTGGTGGAATCATCAAAAAATATTATTTTCACAGCAATTTTGGTCAGGTGTCTCTCTGTTCTATGGGACCAGAGAGGAATATATAAGACATTTGGGCATAGAAGCGGTATACAAATCTGTATATAAAAGTGGGGTACAAATTAATAATAATAATGAAATGACTCTGGCTAGTTTAATTTAATTCCGCCAACCCTCAGATCTTTGCCTTAAGCTGAGGAACTCATGTAATAATAATAATAATAATAATAATAATAATAATAATATTTATATATAATAATAAAAAATAATAATAAAATAATAATAAAATTATTATTATTATTGTGTGTGTATGTGTTTATATCCTGCCCTCCCCATCTGAAGCCGGGCTCAGAGTGGCTAACAACAGTAAAATAATACAGCATTCTGTGGAATGTAGTTTTGAGTGGGCAACTGGTGTCCAGAAGAAAAACCTATATCTATAGGGAATATTGCAAACTGATCCTATTCACAGCTTCATCCAGGAGTAACTTCTCGTTCTGTGAACAAAGGGTATTCGTTTCCTTTTTTAAAAAGACACAGAACCCTAAATCTTGCAAGCCGCTTTTGCTGTTATTGCTTACCGTCAATGCAGTGTATACGTTTTCTGATATAAGACAGATCAGAGAGAGATTTCTAGCCTAGACGCACACGCAAACAAGCAAGTTTCTCACCAGCGGGCCGGAAGGTGCTCCTCCGGACGGGACGGAAGATGGGAATCCAGCTCCACCCTGCGGTGCGGTCGGCTGTGCTCCTCCGCCACTCAGGGGCTGTCCGGGGCCAGGATACATGCCGGAGGCACCTGGTGGAACCATTCCAGGTGCGCTGGGAAATCCGCCTGGCGGGGGTGGGCCTCCTGGGTATCCGCCACCGGGGGGTGGGGCCCCAGGATAGGCCCCGGGGGCCCCTGGAGAGGCGCCGGGTGCTCCAGGATACGCGACAGGGGCCCCCTGGGTATGCGCCGGGTGCTCCAGGATATGGGCCGGGGAACGCTCCGGGATATCCTGGGAAAGTGCCGGAGCTGATTTCCCCAAGGGTTTGGCTGGGCATTTGGGTTGGCGTTCAGGTTGTTGGCGCTCTGGACAGGAGCATCAGACAACTGTGTAGAGAACAAAGCAACAGTTAGCAAAAATGTATAAGAGGTCCAAATATTTGCTGGAAATGTAAAGAAAAATCATATACGGTGGCCTTGTAAGGTAATAAAATCATTCTGGGAAACGATATACACTCATACCTCGGGTTACAGACGCTTCAGGTTGCGTTTTTTATGGGTTACAGACCCGCTGAAACCTGGAAGTACCAGAATGGGTTACTTCCGGGTTTCGGGGGTCGCGCATGCGCAGAAGTGCTAAATCTCACTTTGTGCATGCACAGAAGCGCCGAATGGCAATCCACGCACGCGCAGACCCAGTGCTGTGGGTTGCGAATGTGCATCCTGCACAGATCACGTTCGCAACCCGAGTGTCCACTGTATAATGAGATGGGAAAAAATTCAAATTAACTTTTGTCAAAATAAAACCCAGAGTCTTTTTTATTAGGAAATATAGTTGCAGATATTCCAAGGGAGCAGAAAAGACTTTTTATTTATGCAACGACAGCCGTGCACATGCCAGTAGCCCAGAGATGGAAAGAAGATAAAGTCCCTACCATACTTCTGGGTATACTTCTAGGTTTTGCCATGTGCGCATGCACAGAAGCACTCTGCACAACTTGCACATGCGCGGAAGCACTCTATCATGCCACGCTCCAGTTGCGGAATTTTCAGAGTGCCCCAGAACAGATCGAGTCTGTAACAAGAGGTACCAGTGTAATGTCAAAAATCAATGGGCATCTTATACACGGATAGTGCCGAGTGTGGACTGGCGATTGGTTGTTGCCCCCAAAATAGGGGCCGTCTTATACATGGGGGCATCTTATAGACGGAAAAAACCTGATATATAGTTTTAACTGGGTTTTGACTAAACGTGCAATTAAATGTCTCAGCTGAAACCGTGGCTGGTGCTTTCTGGATGATACAGAAAGGGCCCCGCTTTCTCAGGCCAAGATCAGGTGAGGGTCTCAGGTCACAGCAACAACACTAATCCTTTTTAAAATTGGCATCAAAAGCACTACTGCATCAGGAGAGCAGATACTTACTGAAAAGCCGTCAGACATCTTCCTGAAACAAAAGAGAAAAAGAGAACAGGTGAGTGCAAGGCAGCAGCCATAGATTCCACTGGCCAAATGCAAATCTTGGCAGAGCCAAGGGAGGCTTTGTGGTGCAATGGATAGAGCAGCTTTTGCCAACCTGGTGCCCCTCCCAGATGTTTGCTGGCTGTGGCTGATGGAAGTTGTAGTCCCAAACATCTGGAGAAGCACCAGCTTGATAAAGGCTGGGATTTACTTATTTTTGGGCAAAGAAACAGCTCAGAATCCAGATGTTGCTTTCAAGTACTCATGTAAATTCACCAGCATTGGAGTGCAAACTTCTTTAAATGTTTACTTG